CTTGAGATATTATATTATATATCTAATTTTATTTAATTATTTTAATCTTAGTAATTATTAATAGTAATTTTATCTATGACATTATTTCTTCTTTTTAGAAATGACTCTATATACATTATTGCTCTTCATGGAATTCATTCTTTTTGTATTGGATGCATATACTACTTAAGTAAATAGAAGTAAGTAAAAGTGGATAGAAACATGTTAGATAGATAATATCTTCTTTAAGAAGCATTTAAGAAGCTTCTAAGTTGTATAATAAATATTTAGACTTTTATAGATATGCCACATAGATATTCAAGTTTATTCTATAAGTTTTATACTTTTAAAAAATTATATCAAAAGTAATCTACAACTTAATATTTGAGCCACAAGACCTTCTTTGTAGCTAGTATATATAGAAAAAAGTATAAGACTATCTTTAATCTTGTCAACACCTTTCATATATTCCAATCTTATTCCAAGGCTCTTTAAATTCTATATAATTGGAAATAGCTATTTTAGTTTCTTCTTAACTTATATTTCTCTTTTTTTCTATTTTTTTCTCTTTTAATGACATAAGAGTATAATATCTTTTTAGACTTTTGTCCAAATTCATGTTTTTGACAATTATTTTATAAAATGATTGTGATGTGATTCATAATGTCTTTTGAAAGATGCATGTATAATACTATAAAAAAAATTTGGTATCTTAGCCAACACAAAAATATAATATCTTTAAAAACAATCATGCTTGAATTTTTTATAGAAAAAATACACTATCTACAAATATGTTAAGATAATTTTTATTTAAAAGTTAAAAATTTTAAGTATACAAATATAAAAAAAAATAAAACTAAATTAATTAAAATTTAATAAAATTATAATTATAATATTTTTTTAATACATACATATCTATATTTATATTTAATGATTATATATTTTTTTCTTTCACCATTATTTCTAAAATACTAATAAAAATCTTTACAGTCAACGCAAAATAATAATACATGTATTGGCAATGTCATCTATGCATAATTTGAATGTCATTTAAATAATGTATTAACTACCAATATGACAAACATCTTGGTATCATTCTTTAGTTGGGAATCTTTTTCAACTTTGAGTGTCTCAAAATATACTCCAAAAAAAAAAATTGCATAGCAAGAAAAACAAAAAAGAGAAAAAATAAAATTACTTAAAATAACACCTTATAAAAAACCAAAAAGGAGGGTTTTTTTATTTTTTATTTTTAAAAATAAAAACTATAAACTTTTGAGAGCTTTAAGAAGATATACAATTCAATGCAGATTCGATATTATCTTATCCAGAAAACAATATTAACATGAAAAAAATCCCACGAATCTAATCAATAACTTGCTGATTACACAACGAGGCCCCTCCCCAACATTAGAATTATGGGCTCTAATCAAATGCACTGCGAAGATGGCATCGTGGCTGCCGCCCACTGACGCGTTCTGACGCCGCCGCCGCCGCCGCCGCCGCCGCCGCCGCCAGAGTCGCAACAAAGAATGCGCAAGCACCAGTGAGCCTGTGGAGCCGATCCGCGCAGGAATTGTACCATTTCCTGGTGATCTCCCCCCTTCGGTTCATGTATCGCGCTCACTCAGACTGATGTGTCGATTCTCGTATCGAACGAACGAATTCTGAGTGCAGACTGAATGCTTGATGGCTCAGAGTTGGATTTGTCGATTCTGTGGGCACAGTTTTCACGTTGATGGGTGGCGGTTTGGAGCTCGAGTGTTGTTGAAGTGAGCATTCGCCCTGCAGGTCTCGATGTTTCTGAACTTGTGACTGGAAGTTCTATGTGGCGGTCGCGAATGCTACAGTCGACCTCCCTGGCCTGTGTTCAATCATGTTGCAGCGATGAAATTGTGATTCAGGCACCCGTGTGTGGTGGCCAGTGACCACGCTACAAGTCGTCAACCATGCGGATTTTATCGAATGGCCACCGCCAGGGAAATCCAAGTGGGCGACCTGATGATGACTTCAATTCCGTGGCAACTCACTTTGATAGTTTTGATTCAAGAGAGAACAGAAAGTTCTCCTCCACTGACAGAAGATTCGTACTTTAGGGTTTAGCCACAATTCTTATCGTTGTCGAGCATCGATGTGGAACATCCCAGCGGTCGAGCACGATGAAGAAGTGGGGCCATCGCTGGAGGACTTGAGGTTTGTTAGTCCAAAGAACACGAGACGAGACTACAGGCTTTACGCTCTGGCACCATCACAGTGTGCACATGGGTTTATGTCGGGAGCGCTTGGATCCTCCGCGGCCGCCCATTGTGCACTTGCATGAGTTCATCCAGATTACCGTCATGATTTGTATACTATTAATGGGAATAAGTCTGAAACAAGGATTACCGCGACTTCAGCTCCATTATATGTCCCTGCTAATTCGTCTCGCGGCTTGAAGTGCAGCAGACGACGCCACGCTCGATCGAAATGGGCTAGAGTTCAAATAGATTCGGTAATTCAAGCTTGGAGTTACATGATCAATTCATCAGAAGGATTCCTCCCTCTCCAATCAAACAGACATTCGATATCAAGGGATGGGTCAGTTGTGAGCCACCTATTTCTAATCAAGTGCGGAGGTTGACAGTCTCTGATCAAGCTCGCATCATCATCGACACAGTGCATGATGAAGTGGGTTGGGTCCCATGGTGTCGACCAAACCACTGACAAGCTTCCATTCTGACATCGCCGGACACCACTTTGGCAGCAGGAACGTGCATGCAGAATGGTAACAAACAAACCTGGCTAGGGGACAAGTACAAAACACTTGTAGCCACCCTTGAATCATCTAGCCGAATGAAACTGTGAAATATTCGGCGGAGCCTTTTAGACCATGAGGCTGCGTCGCTGAAAAATGAAACGAAGCAATTAACCCTAACTACAACGAAGGAGCGGCATATAGTAACCAGGAAAATTGTCTGAACAAGGGTGTGATTTGAGGAGGACAAAATAGATGACGAACATGAGCAGTGGAGCGCGCTGTGAACGGAAACATTTCGCCAAACACTGTTTGAAGTGTGTCAGCTGATTGACCGGGGAACAATTCGCATATATTTGTTGACAACTCAATTCCAAACGATACGCCCACAACAAGTGCACTAGTTGCAGATCGTGTCTGTATATATTTTACTGAAACAATGCAACATACGATTATTTAATTTTGTGACATCGGTATTTCCGGTGACGGTAATACGGAACGGCAGATCACTCCGACGTCGGACCATATCACTTTGAGAGTATATTGGAGGGACTGTATTGTCAAGGCAATCAACTGGATTGCCCAGTACATGAGGTTCAACAATGAAAGGAGTTGTAAATACTAATTTATCTGTATAAAGACACGCAACTTCCTCTGCGCAAATCTCAGTTGAAACCAACTAGAAACAAGCCAAGTAGGCTTTACTAGTTTGAACCACGGCACTTGAACTCGATGAATTGAACCTAAGCCACCATTTTCGGACAATGTACGCAATAAGAAGCAGTAGGAGACTTCGCGTTTCTCAAGGAAGAAGGCGGAGGACTTGGGTAGTTAATTACAAGTTGTGATGATTTTCGACATTATTATATAGTCGTGCCTTCTGATTGGTGTCGCACTACACAACCTGGAATGCAATTGCACCGGAATGACTGTGATCGAGGTGTTGATTCTACCTCAGAAGACCCTAATCGACAGATATGTGTTTATGGCTTGCTCCGTTGCAGGAACACGACGTGTTTTGTTCACCAAGACACGCTGACTAGCAAGGCCCATTACCTGTTTATTTCGAATCACACGGCTCGCAAAATACCATAATTTTTCAGTTGTCAGAAAAGACTGTTGAAAATAACCATACCTTTACTTGTCTGAAGCTGAAACATGCGTAGAATTCTGAAGGAATGTTGCTGTGGTGCCTCGCAATGGGGATGCATTGTCAAACCTTCCAACGAAAAAATTAATGGAAAGCACTTAATGTCCAATCCAACTTGAAGCAAGTCTACGGGAACAGCGGGTGACAGAACTCCTTCCTACAGACGATTCGATTCTCCTCTGTCGTGCAAGTGCGTCAGATGAAGAGTACCAATCGCTGGCCTCAACTGAAGAAGGAAATCTTACAATGAGGAAGATTACTGTTGCTAGGCTTCTATCGGCACCTCTTGCTGACCAAATAGCGAAATCAAAGGGATTTCAATCTGTGACCACCGAACTGGCAATGCGCCGACCTGAAGAAAAGATTTTTTTTTTGACACAAATCCAGCGTGATCTCTTTCAAGCAATAAGATACATAATCCTAGTCCTAGAACCTGCTAATAATTTATTGAATATATCCTAAGCAACTGTTGAATGCTTCACCACCCGAGCACCCATTTCGTGCCGCCAGCACTGATTGGGGAAAACCCAATAAGTTTCGCGTTCCGGACTTTTTATTTATTATTTTCAGGTGATTTGTTTACGAAGCAAGGGGAATTTACAGTATCCTTCATTCTTCTTTCGTTATTTCTTCCTTTCCTTATAACAACTCTAAATAAATAAATTATTGTTTGGGAGTGGTTCGTTATTGGTTGCCGAGAATTAGCGATGTCTTCTTTTCTTCAATTTGGCATTACAATTTGCATTCGCAACACAATAAAATCGATGTGAGAAAATTACGAATTTCTTCACAAATAACATGAAATGAGACTGATAGATGCACATGTGATTTTGCTTAAAGTCAACCTTTCTGTCAAGCTGGTAATTTTATAATTAGCTGGTAGAAATTACCTTGGTTAGTTTCGTAGGTTGGTGATCTATCAAGCTAAATTATCCACTAATGACCAGAAATAATTTCACTACTGAATTGAGAAAGAAACAAACCACACATTCTCGCTTGGGAAGGAGGGGGCAAAGACTGACAACCGTTTGATGCAGCAATGAAGATTGCGACGTAGACCTCACCAGTTGGTATGTGTAGGTTCTAGAGCTCTTCAACCAAACGTGGGATCGCTGCTTATATATACGCTTCTCTGCCACCACAATCTTCATCAGTCGCATTCTGATCCTTTCCCGTAGTACTACCTCTGACGGTCTGCCTGCACAGTCACATATTTCTCCATCAAAGTCCCGGCAACAGCAGCAGCGATGGCGATGGTGCGTGGCAATGCTTTTGCAGCCGTTCTGACGCTTGTGGTGGCTTTGGATCTGGTCGCACGCGTGATGCTGGTCCAGGCTAGCAGTTATCTTGGAACCAACTGGGTGAGCGGCAGGGCACATGCCACGTTCTACGGCGGTGCTGATGCCTCTGGCACTCAAGGTGTGGATCGAAGCATCATGTCTGTCACCATGAAACTTTGGGATTTCCAAGTGTTTGCTTTAGATGCAGGATGAATTAGTGTGCTCGTCTGCGTGAAGTCGAGGAATTACCTAATTGCATTTTCACCAACTTAAATGTTAACAAGCCTCAATCTATAGACTCCAACCTGGCTTCCTGATTAGAACCTGCATTGTGCTCCAAACCGAAATTGAAATCAAAGTGTCACAGACTGAGATGCTTCATTAGTTGTCAAGATTGACTTCGATCCTTAGGAAACATCAAATTGAATCACGATTGAAAGTCGAGTCTTAGTAACCAAGATTCATGCAGCGACATTAGCATGGAACTTGAGCTCTTTCACCTTGTATCTGAACCCAGCGGACATGGCTTCTGTTGCCTCCACACACAGCTGTTTATCTAATAACGAAAGCTTTTTTGCGAATGCAGGTGGTGCGTGTGGATATGGAAATCTCTACTCGACTGGATATGGAACCAGCACTGCCGCTCTTAGTTCGGCGCTATTCAACAGTGGCCTCTCTTGCGGCGCATGCTATGAACTCACCTGTGATACCTCTGGCTCCAAGTACTGCCTTCCCGGAAATCCATCCATCATTCTGACAGCCACTAACTACTGCCCTCAGAACTCCAACGGCGGATGGTGCGACGCTCCCAAGCAGCATTTCGACCTTGCACATCCCATGTTTGTGTCTCTCGCGGAGGAGCGTGGCGGTGTTATCCCTGTCAATTACAGAAGAGTCCCTTGCGCGAAGAAAGGTGGCATGAGGTTCCAAATGAATGGAAACCCCTGGTTTTTGCTGGTTCTCGTGACCAACGTCGGCGGGGCAGGCGATGTGCAACAGCTCTCCATCAAGGGCTCAAACTCGGGCTGGTACCAAATGAAACGCAATTGGGGACAGATGTGGCAGCTGACGGGAAACAGCAACATGCCGGGACAAGCTCTCTCTTTCAGAGCTGTCCTTAGCGACGGCACAACAGTGGAGTCCTTGGACGCTGCCCCAGCTAACTGGCATTTCGGCCAAATGTTTGAGGGAAGCCAGGCATAATCACATTACCAGTATTGAACCGACGACCACCGTATATCGTTCATCATGCTTTGCACCGGAGTCACGAGTGGCGTCGCGGTCACAGATAGAATGATTTTCTAACTTACCAGTAAAAATACATGAGTTTGGATTGTGTCTGTACGAAGAAGCAGAGGCGTGTGTATACACACGCCCGCTCTTAGAAAGTCAATATTCCAGATTAGAAATCGGTCTCGTACAGTAAGAGCGATAAAATTTAGGTTGCTGAGGTGCGTTAAATTAATACGTTATGATTGCACCACCCGCTCCTTGCCTGTAAATTAATTTAATGTCCAGCTTGGGAATTATAGACTGCGCAGATCAGGTCCTACCATAGTAAACGCCTCCATGACCCGTGTGTTGAATCAGTGTGACGGAGTGAAAGGGTTGTTCTTTTGCCCGCACTTCCCACTTTCCTCTAATCCGTAATAAGATTCAACATTGTTCTACAAGCGATGTCCTGCCATTTGAAGACCTAATCCTTATAAGCTTTTCTTGTTCGGCGAGAAATTCTATCGCAAGGCCGCAAGCTACAGACGTCTGTAGTGATAGATTAGTCGTGACTTCACCGACAGTTTAAATGTTGTGCGATTTGTGATTGCATTACTGGAGAAAATGGTTTCCGAATTCCTCCCGGGTGCGCACACTAGAGGCGTAAATCTTCAAATTCTTCGACGACTCTGGACAAGTAGCAACTCGTCCTCTGCAAATGCCCCGCCCCCCTTCACGGCGCCGCTTGTCCCGACCTTTACATCCACGAGGAGCTCGTTTCTCTGACAATTCCAACATTCATCCATGAGAAACGTGGACATACCCTATAACCGCATCCCACGGTTTCACCTCTTGGTTGGTTGCATGTTTCATCATTGTACAACGAAGACAAATAGACAAGGAGTGTTTCATATGAGATTTCACGAATCTTTCTTTGACAGTATAGAGCAATTCTATACACAACAATACTAGTTTGTACTTAACTCTTCAAAAATAAAATAAAAAAAAAACAACAAAGTAACCACTAAAGATATGAGTTGCATTTATATATATATATATATATATATGTATATACTAGTGGAAACTTGTGCCATTGGCCACAAAAAAGTTGTAAAAGTTTAATTTGTGGTTGCTAAGTCAAAAATTAACCACTCTTCAAGAAATGTTGACCAAGGAAAAAATAAAAAAATAAAAAAATAGAAGAGTATATACATAACAATGGAACCATTTATGTTTCTCCATTGTAATTAGCAAATATGATTTTTATTTACTACAAAAACTTATATAACTAAAATAAAAGAAATTTGAAATAAATCACATTTATGTTAGTATTTTTATCTTCATTATTTTTAAGATATATAATCTTGATCATATTTGAAGAAGTGCATTATGAAAGGAGAATATGCAACTATCTATGTGCAAATAAAGGATTCTAAGATCTATTCCTATGTACTTCAATGATTTTTCTTTAAATTTATTAAAAGTCATTGTAAATCCCACTTTTACTAAAATTACCTTTACTGCAACTTGAACATAATTTCTACAGATGATAGGTATGATGTGATCTTTGAAAACAAAGCCAAATGTCTGTTGTAGTCTCTACATAACAATCTTGCTTCTACAATTTGATTAGTCAGTTGGGTAATGACCAAGTGGGATCTATTGCAAATCTTTAATGCAAAGCAATCTTTTGCAATAATATAATAAAACATTTAATATTTAACTACAGGTTAAATGGTAACAATCTAGATGGACTTAAGCTATTCAAATATTCAGTTGATAAATAATCACTATTCTTGGCACTGTCTTTCATAATTGTTATATTTGCACTCAAATAGACATATGAAATTCTAAAAAATCTATGTATAGCTCGTTTATTTGGATCAGCAATATCATAATTTCATGCAAATAAAATAGACCTATTGATGAAATATCCATCTTCAAGTATCCCATCCTTATCCAATCCCGAATAAACAACTTGAATCAAATTATTTGATGTTAGACCTACTCCTATATATTTTAGAAGAATCACCATACTTATTGATAATAATTAATGATTAATATTTTATAATATTAATTATATTAAAAAATTATTATCATATTTTAATTTTTATTAATAATATTATAATATATTAATTAATATTTATTTATGGAATAATTAATATTCCTAAAATATTTTATTAATTAGATATTAATATTTTTAGTTTTTTTTATTAAAATTAAAAAGATTTTAAATCTAATAAAAAAATATTTAATTATTTTTGATTTTTTGATGCAAACATCAAAAAATTATTGGAAAATATATCTTTATATATTCTAAACAAATGAAAATAATTTAAATTATGCACAATAAATATTGAATTAGATTTTTAATTTTTATTTAGAATAAAAGTTTATCCAATTATATATTTTAACCGTTTTCAAATAATATTAGTAATAAATTCTATAAATTTCTTAATTGTATTAAAATAATTATGATTCAAATTTTATTTAATTTCAAATTATTTTATGATGAATGAATCACTACTAAATTACATAATATAGTTACTACGAAGTGATTATTACTTCTTTTAGAATGATGAATATAAGTTACAAATAAAAATTTAGGATTTTTAAATTAAAAGAAATTAAAAGTATTTTTAGAAATTTTAACTTTTTATTTTAATATATATATATCAAAAAATATAAATATAATTGAATGATTTTGTAAAATTTAAATACTATTAAAATTTATTAAATATAATAGCTAGTAAATATGAAATACTGATATCTTTATTAATTTAAATTATCATTAATGTAATTGTACTTGGTAGACCTTTGACATCCGTCAATCAAATCAACAACTTGTAGCATATGGTTGTAAATAATCAAAAAATTGGATTGATATAATTATTTATTTAATATAAAATATTTTTTTCATATTATAGATTTTAATACTAAATAATATATTTATAACACCTACAATTCAAAACAATAACATTAATTTTAAAAAAAATTACAACAATAAACAAACTTTAAATACTTGTAGCCATTTTACAATCCAATGTTTTTAACAATAATAATACTATTATAATTAGGATAGTAAACAACATAATATCTCCAACAATTCTAACATTTTAATGATACCCACTTAATATGTTTAATTTTTATACCAACCAAATCAATACATAGCCACTACCATCAAGAACTTCATCAATATAATCAAAATTAACTTTAATCATACTAATATGCAAAACATAGTTTATTAATTTTGTGGAGATTTTAAAAAGATTAATCTATTTTTAGAATATTCTATTGATTATGTCTACATCATTGTAAAAGTGAATAAAAACATCAAGAGGTCAATCCTAAATTGTATATGTTATTTGCAAAAGATTAGTACATGAAAGTAGTTGAAATCAACAAAATCATTTTACTCATTACTTGACAAAATTAAATCCCAAAAAAAAAAGTTAAAAATAATTTAGCAAAGAGAAAGAATTTGATAATGCCCTATTTAAGTGTCCATTGGTTTTCTTTCTTCCATTGCACTTCTTCCTCCTTCTTTTAGAAGGAACTACAATCTCTAAAGGTAACTACAAGTGTTAATTGACTTATTTCAAGCATGTAATAAAGGATACTCCATCATTTTGAGATTTGACAAGATTGTGACATATTGTCAAGGACAAGAACTTGATATTAACAAATAAATAATTGAAACTTTTCTCAAAGAAATATGACAAAATAGAAATAATTAAATATATAAATTAAAAAAGAAATTAGAATAGCTATTGCCAAAAGACAAGAAAACTAAAGACCCTTAAAATTAGACTAGAAGCAAGAAAGGAGTTGACAAGAGTGAAGAAGGCTTCATTCTTGCCTCTATATACACTATCTACTTAGAAGCTATCTAGCCACATTCTATAGGACCTCCAAAAACGTGTTGACTTTGCATAACATGTATCTTAACTTATAAGGCAAGTTTTCTATGTGGGTGCCACATAATTAGCTTGTTTTGCAAGCTACCAACATGTGTGGTAAGTGGTTAACTTGTTGACCAAGTTTCTAACCTATCAATTAAGTACAAACAGATGTAAAGTCAAAGCAATGTCTATGAAGATTTTAAAAAGCTTCTCTAAAAGATATTATGAAATTAATCTATTTTTATCTATTTCTATCCATTCATATCACTTAGATAATAATTATAGTAAATATATGTCTGTAATATTATCCCCCCTTCTAGAGACGAGTTCCATGAGGAGTGGTGATCACATTTCAAAGAAATCTAAGATACAGCGAATTATATTTGCCACATACTGTGATCTTTGTTTTCTTTGAAGATGATTGATAGGACCTCTCAACCATCGATAGTGCCTCATACTAGGGCAAGAAGACCACCCAATTATTTTATCGTTATTCAGGCCTTCATAACTTCCTTTAGATAAAATATTTGGAATACCATCAGGAGTTGTTCCTACCTCTAATAAAATCACCAAACATCAGGAGTCCCTTCCAAGGTCATGATACCAAATACGTTGTATCTTGCCATCTATTCAAGGAATAATATGTCGTTCTTGAGGATCTTCATCTCAATTGCACCATCTTAAAAGTTGTAATAATTATAATGTTTCATCCGACAAGTCAACAAATGAAGGCTCTTAAGTTGCATCCACTAGTTGTTGGTTTTCTATCTTCTTAGCGTCATAACTATAAAGAAGCTGCAAATAAAGATTGAAAGTAGAATGTTATCTTGCTTAGATCTTGTTTCTTTCATAAAGAAGGTTTTCATCTTGATTTTGATGGATATTGTCAATAAAAAGCCTCCACCACTTTTTTTGCATTTGCAAGATTCTTTACTAGCTCCTATGTGCATTCACTAATATCATATCTAGGCCAATGGACAAGATATTCTAATTTATTTTGGTGCCACCTTGAATCTAAGACTTCTTCCACTTCGAACTCTTCATTATTATCTACTTCTATAAGAGGAGGTGGAGCTTGTCTTTTTTTTAGTATGTCCACTGTCTTGTATGATTCAAAAAGAGATACGTGAAATATTAGGTAGATTTTTATTGACTCTGATAGGTGTAAACAAAATGCAATTAGATTGATTTGTGCAGAAATAGAAAATGGTCCAAGCCTTCAATAGTCTAACTTGTCACAAGGATAAGTGGTCTTGATACTGCAACAAAGTAACCATATCTTATCACCCATGTGGAATGGTGGTTGTTCCTTTCGATAGACATCCTCATTGATTTTTTGTTGTTCTTGAGCTTCTTTTAACTATACCTTCATTATTGCATGTAGATATAATAAATAATTTGCCAAATCTTCCGCTGTAGGATTATTAACTTTTGAAAAGTCAAAGTATCAAGTCGTGGATGATAATCATAATTGATAAAGAAAGGTGTTTATTTTGTAGAAGAACGTATTATGTTATTATAAGCAAACTCTGCCATTGGCAAAAGAATTGTCCAAT